CCACAGGTGCCGTGCTAGCCGTGGGGTTGTCTTTTGGTGTCAGGGCTGTGCCAGGCCAGGGGGACTTGTCCCCCTCATGCCTTGTGACCTGCAGTGCTGGGGCTGGGGGCTTGCTGCTGGGCCTGGCTGTGGGGGCACCTCTGCAGCGAGGCTGTTTGTGGAGCTGGAGAAGCGGGCTGCTGGCCCAAGGAACTGTTCCCACAGTTGGAGCAGCGTCCCGAGCAGTGTGTGGGTGGCACTGCTCCGCCAACATCTGTTACCTCATGTTTTCCTTCTCGCTTTTCCGGGAAGGCTGACAGTTAACCGCACGTAACCCCACGGTTGTGCAAAGGAAGGGGGAGGCTGGCTGGGCTGCCCCGTGCCGGGCTTCTGCGAGACTGAGGGAGGAAGGGCATTGGGAGCAGCCGGGAGAGCTCAGGAGCAGGCTGTGCCTGGGATGGGGTCTCGTTCGGATCCAGGTAACTGCACAGACAGGTCTCTTTGGGGAGCACCTTTCTGGTTGTGGTCCCAGCACGGAGATGTGGTGTCCCAGCACAGCAGGAGATTGCCTCCATCGCTTCCCGCTGGCCAAAGCCCCGCGATGGCTCTGGCCAGGGGATCGACCTGCAGCTGTGTCATTCCAGGGCAGCTCCCCGGTGCTCTGGCCACGTCCGCATGTTTGTGCTCCGCAGGACGACTCGCTGAGAGCTGTTTACATGCATCAGACCCTATGATAGGCTTCTCCATACCTCAGGACTTTATTCAAAACATCGTGTACTTGATGACGAGAGGTTTTGCTGGGGAGGAATGTAGCCTTTACCCTCGGTCATAAGAGCTTGCGGTGCAGATGGACTTTGCCAGGCAGAACACTCATGTACTCCCACAGGCAGATTGTAGGGGAGCAGGGAGAAGTCATCTGATAAAAGCAAAGATCCTGGCCAACTCTCCCAGCAAGATTATGTTGCTTACCATTGCCAAGGGGCCCTGCTGGAACCTCCTGTGGTGGAGGCTGGGGAGATGCTTCACCCCTGCTCTTGTGTAATGATGTGGGCAATGCAGGGAGGAGGGCGAGCTGGGGCTGGAGGGAAGGTGGCAGTGCCGAGGGGAAGTCAGAAAGGGTCTGGTTCCTGCCCCTCCAGTTTTAGGCTGCTTCGGTAGACCTGAGGCAGCTGGAGCTGAGATCTTGTGGGATCTCTGGGATCTCGATGCACAGAGGGAGAAGCCTCCCCAAGTGCCACCTGGGAGGGCCCTGGTGCTGTGTCACTTCAACAAGAGCAGCTGGGGGTCCCTGTCCACCTGGCCTCAGCCAGGGCTGAGTGTTAGCTCCTGCCCTCACATCTCAGACCCACGCATCACCCAGAGCTGCGGGTTCCTTCTACTAACCTGTCCTTTTTCTGTTGTGTCTGATTTTCAAGAGTCCATCGTAGGGAACTGTATGGACAGGAGTTCCCCAGGCCAAGCCATGCAGGTGCCTGACCACAACGGGCTGGGCTACCCCGTGCGACCTGCCTCCAGCGAGCACCCACGGCCCAGGACCCTGCAGAGACATCACACCATTCAGAACAGCGACGATGCCTACGTAGGTTTGAAGAAGCCCACGCTGAGCTTCCTTCACGTGTGTGGGTTGTGGACGAGGTGCCACGTAGGAAAGGCAGTGAGGGAATGAGAAGCCATGGGGAGCCTTCAGTTCATCCTGTTTGCTGGGAACATTTTAGCAGAGAGCAGCATGGAAGTGCTCCTCCTTTGCCCATGGGTTGCCCATGGCTCTGGCTGCTGTAGCTGTAGCATCTATTTCCTCCAAGGTGCTCCTGATGGAGCAGCCTGGGCTGCCCCAGGCCTGGCTCTGGCCACGGAGGGCTCTGTAGACACAGCGAGCCCGGGTTTCGGTTCTGTGGTGCTGCTGAAGGAGCTGCCCATGGCAGCCCAGGCCTTGGCTGAGAGCAGAGAGCAGCTGCTCTGCTTCCCCCACATCCTGGGCCGCTGGGAAGTGTCCTGCCCAAGTTTTGGGGTGCTCTTTGCTCCACGCTCCCTTCTGCTACAAACGAGAAGGGCTCTCCCCTGGGTAGTTCAGTGTAGGTCTGGGAGGGACTTGGACTGTACAAGCTGGGGGGACATTGGCTGCACCTGGGCTGTACCTGATGTCCAGTTCTCACCTGTACTTGGACACCTTCGCTGAAGCTCCCTGGGTCAGAGAGCTGGGGGGGCAGCAGGGTGCCTGGTCCCACGCTCCCCCCTGAC